AGTTGAATTTAGAAGTTTTAGAGGTAACATAAAAAAATTAAAATTTTTAAATATAACTGCTTAATATAAAGAATATATTTTTAAAATTATTTAAGAAAAATAAATCTCGAAATAAAAAAAATTATTCATAGCTTGATAAAAATGTCTTTAAAGTTACATTAAAGCGTCTAGCATTATGTGACCTAATGATCATAACCTACGTGGAACGTGCTATGACATAAAAATCTTGGGTTCTATACCCAAGCACTACTTCCCCCATTCCCCATAATTCCCCTTAGTTCAAAAAAAAAAAAAAAAATTACATTAAGCAAACTTAAAATACGTTCGTTAAAATAAAATTAAAATACAAAGTACTTCAGGCTGGGACTAACACTGGCGCACCCATTAAAGCTCCTGCAAAAATAAATTAAAAAAAATCAATGATTGAGATTTACTCCTTAAAATAGCTAGTCGTTGTATAGCTGTTACTTTTCTCACATATTAAGAATTTGGTAATATAGGTAAAAAGAAAAAAAAAGAGTAAGAGGAATGAGAAAATTTTAGTAATAAAGGGAATAATTAAAATTAAAAAATAATAATAGAATTAAAGTTGAAGAGATATTAAAAAATAAAAAATAAGAAACGATGAGATAAATTTTGAGTAAAAAAAAATTTACTTTTTTTATTAGATTTAATTATATTATTTTTTAAATAAGATGATTACTTAGTTGTCTCATTTTTTATTTTAATAATAGATTAAAAATAATTTTAATAATAGATTTAATCGGAAGTAATAGTTATTTTGGGACAAGAAATAAAAGAATTTGAAGGATATGGAGATGAAAGGAGGGCGTACTACCGAACTGAAAATAGCTAGCAATCAAATTGAGATTATCAGATCATCACATACCTTTGGCTACTGATGAATAGGGGGATGGGCCACCGGAGCAGGAGGAGTAAAATTCAGAGGGTTTGCCTTATCGGCAACGATAGTTTGATCATTTTGTGGTTCTTGGTTAATGGCTTCTGCAAGAATAAATAACATCAAGGTAGCAACTATAAAGAGGAAAGAAATAACGAAAAGCACTTTTGGAGGAGCCATATACATGGTGCACAACTGGAGATTAAGCAGTGGAGCGAGGTATGGATCTGATTTCCTTGCAT